AGAGAGAGAGAGAGAGAGAGAGAGAGAGAGAGAGAGAGAATCGGAAACCAAGCATATAACAGTCATTGATTCGGAGGTGATCAAGGTGGGCTGGTGATCGATCGATCACTAATATCGGGATCGGTCGATCCGGAATCGAGGAGAGCGAGAGACGTGCGATCTTGGTCCCAGGGTTGCTTGGATGACACTAGAGTGCTACACGTTGCTGATCGAAGAAGAGTCAGTGTACGGTGGTCTTAGGACATTCGGTATCCGCTGGATTCCAGAAAGACTACACGGAGTCGCGGAAGACTTACGATAGATCATCAAACTCGAAAGCAGTCGCGTTATATGGTACGTTACAATCACCTGTCATGATAGATGTTGTGTACTATGTAGATGGATTTAGGATATAGCGGAAGACAAGTAGGAAGGATCGAGCAAGTGTTGAAGTGTTATTTGGTTTCGTGTAACGAGCCGGAGCGGTACTTGCATGACAACAACGAAATGTTGAACGTGACTGATCGGATTCCGTAACTATAGCGAAGTCACGTTTCTACGTTTAACTCTTAACGAGAACATGCGGAAAATGTATGTTTCTTTTGAAAGCGCTCCAGGTGTATCCATACGAACAATAAAACTGGAAATAAACTAAAAACGACGAATTGCAATTTTCACGTATCGAAAAAAATTGGTTTCCTTATTTCCGGAATTTGCCTCGAAATATCACATTAAAAGTTCGAGTCATGCATATTTACCAGATAAATTTATAGAAATTGAGTGGAAAATTATCAGGAGTGTTGTTTATTAAAATGCACATTTGAAATAATAAAAAACCGCGTAAATTTACATTTAAAATGCAAAAGCATTTATCAGGAATAAATAATCACAGTCACAAATTTGTGAATTAATAATGATAACAAAATAAATGTATTTATACAAATCTTATATAATAATATATTTGTAATTTATGTAAATGTAAATGTACCTATATTTTACAAATGTGTTGTTAGATTTTTTTCATATTAATAAATTAAAGATTAAAATATGGTAATATTAATTTGATAAAAATTTTAATAAACAGTTGTATCTTCCCTTATAATTTTTTTCACTTCTTTATTCGTTATCGTTGAAAATAGAAAAATCGAATCTCTAACGAGCTCGTAGCTCGTTATAAATTTTACTACGATATACTTTCTTACGGTCGCGTTGGCGCGTGGGAAATATACTATACTACGTTTTCGCGTTGTTTTCGATGATGTAACTGCGTGGCGACGACGATGAGACGGTTCGTAAGAACGTGGGACTCGGTATGGCGCCGAACGGAATTTCGACGTTCGCATATAGAGCACACACGTTTTCTTCACTGGAAAAATCATTGTCTTAATTAAAATCCTACAAGTCTTCTAATTAAGAGAAAATTGAGGAATCGTTGGGGGAACGAAAGAGATGACGTGATGGTTGAGCAATATCAACATGGTTCTATTCGGTAACAAGTCCCGAAGTAGTAACTATTCGCGTGCAAAAAAGGTCAGGTATCGAACCGCGAAAAGACGAGAATTCGGTATAGACTATCGTTAGCTAAATCTCGTTTCGTCACCTATAAATTATGATTCGGTTAAAAAGTTAATTAATTGAATGCCGATGTAATTAATTCTTTTAAGCTTGATGACACCGTGGTGATTTTAATTAATTACTTTCATTAGGGACGCTCCGTTTTATTCTAGATCGCATAATTTTAACTGACTCTATTTACAACATGATAAACAGAGAACAAGGATCAAGTAATTATTGTTAATTAGTTTTTACATATACGGCCTGCGTCGCATCATATTTATTATAACCCGATTTTCTATGTTAAGTTAAAAGATATTAGTTTCATAAAAACGGATATACCTATATATACATATATAATAGTTTCATAAGAACAGAGCTTGCTGTATGTTTTTATTACTTAAGATACTAAAATCTTTTATTCTTGACTTGTCAAAATCGTAAAAATTCATTCTTTCATCTTCTCTTCGTATATCTATATCACGACAGAGAAATACTCGAAATTATAATGCTTTCGAACACTGGCATGTGACGCGAAAATCTCTCACATTGACGTTTATTAAGTCGATTCGGATATCTTTCCGAAGGATTTCCATATGGTTCTGACAATATGTAACTTTTGGAGGAATAATTGATATTGCCAAAAAAAAATTACTCCAGCGAATGTGAAAAAATTAATAAAAATAAGTCGAACTTTCAGTGTCATATTCATTCAGCTATATATATATTTGTAAAAAATTAATTTTTCTTATAATCATATGGTTTAATTCATTATATCGATCAACTAGAAAATGAAAATCGTTCTACGTTCAAAATAGCTAATCAAACGACGCGGTAGCGTCGCGACGCCAAGTGCATAAAATAAAAATATAACCGTTTGACATGATGACATGATACTTGATGCGTGTATATGTTCATGTCGATGTCAAATTCACGACGCTACCACTAGCTTTATCTCGAGTTTTCGCATCTTGAAACTTTAGATTAAAATTACTCAGAATTTAAAAGCACAATCAAAAATCTAAAAACACTTTTATTATATAATGTCATCGGTATCTTTCGATTGCGACCAGTCCGAATAAAATTGGTGCAGCCGATATCGAGATCTAGAGACCGAGTCCCGAAAAGGGTACGTTTCAGTTATGTTCAGACGTACGTGTGACACATACATGTATTTTTCAATCGTACGTGTAACACATACATGTAATTGTAATTCAACTGCTTTACTTGAAAAGACTAGTATAACAACGACCAAACGTGTACTTATTATTCAATTATTATTATTTAAAGTTAATAATGAAGAAGTTATAAAGATTACAAATCTTAATATTAAATCCATACCTTCGTCAAAAATTTGTATCGGTGATAATATTTATAAAGTTAATAGTGCGATTCTTCATCATGGTAAAAATATAGACGAAGGACATTACACAAATTTATTGCGAGCTAAAGGTACAAAATGGACATCCATAAATGATTTAAAAGTTGAAGTATGTAAGTGGCCACGAAATGCAAAGAGCGCGTATATATTTTTCTTAGAACAAATCTAAATTAAGTACAAATAAACTTAAGTATAATTAAGTGTCAATAAATACAATACGAGTACATCTTTAATATTAAATAAATAGAAATTTACAAAATAACTATTTTAGAAACAGAATCTGTATTTATTTTTAGAGGATTTAAATTTCCTACATTATTATCACGTTTTCATAATTAACAAAAAGCAGTGAAATCCCAAAAAAAAACCTTTTTTTAAAAAAAGAAAAAAACATACGCCAAGTGCATATAAAAGATACTGAACTTCTTGATCAAAAACAGATATGAGATAAATATAATTGACCAAGTGTATTCTTCATTACGCCAGTCACATAAGACAGACCGAAAGTGACTATAATTGTCAACTGGATTATAGTGAAGAAAAAACTTGGCGTGCCCGGGTCGCATTAAAACGCAATATTCTAGAACCTTGGTTCTATCGCAATATTCTGCAGTATACACAATATATGCGAAAACAATTCAACAAAGAAAAGATGTTAATAATTGCTTACTGAACATATTATAATACTTAGTTGTGAATATATTTTCATGTCCCACAAATTATATCACTATATAGTGAATGATGATACTAATTATATCACTATATTATACGTGTATATTATACGTATATATTATACGTATATATCTGTATACATATGTCTGTTATTTTTATATTTTAATTTATAATGCAAATACTATGTTGAAATAATGTTTTCACTGAATACTGTTTACAATTAATGCGACCCGGGCACGCCAAGTTTTTTCTTCACTATAATCCAGTTGACAATTATAGTCACTTTCGGTCTGTCTTATGTGACTGGCGTAATGAAGAATACACTTGGTCAATTATATTTATCTCATATCTGTTTTTGATCAAGAAGTTCAGTATCTTTTATATGCACTTGGCGTATGTTTTTTTCTTTTTTTAAAAAAAGGTTTTTTTTATGGGATTTTCAATTTTCAAATGATGTTTACCAACATATTAAAGGTTGATCGATCGATTGTTATGCAGCTTTAGTGATTAATAATGCAAATTTTTGTGATATTGCATTTTTATATAATTTTTGCTCATAAAATAGAGCAAGTAACACTTTGAAAATAAATATTAATTCTAGAGCGTAATGTTTTCTTGCAGTCAATACTCATAAAAAAGTGCAGTATCTCGTTTCTGTGAGATGTCGTCTTCATCAAATCTCATCGGCATCAATCTCGAATGTTGACATAAAAGTGCAACGGTTCCACTATCACACATGTCAGTGACACGCGCAATTCTCGCTGGAAATAATACGTGCATACTATGAATGCACAAACGTCCATTATATTGGTTATATCGAATGCATCAGAACATGCGCGTTTCTCTTCGATCAATATAATTTTTCAATAAATATGAAACACTGTGACGTTTCAATAAGAAAAACTTAAAAAAAGTTACATATAGTAAAATTTATCATTCAATATTAAAAATTTCAAACTAATTGTAATAAGAAATATATAACTTAGTAAAAAGAAATTTACGTTTTAATGGACATTAATAAAAACATTTAAGGGGTAAAGGGGCTACTCTAGAGCACGAAAAATAAACTTAACTTTATAAATTTTTTTCGGGAATGTAATGAAAGAAATAAAAAAAATGTATTTTAAGTTTTTTTTTGTTGTACATACATTGAAGTGTAAAAAAATATTTTTTTATAGTGATTTTGTTACAAAATGGTGGCGCTACAGTTCTGCAATGGTAACGTCTTCTATATGTAGCGAATAGGGGCGTATTTGTTTATAGGTCGGCACGGCCGTTCGTACGCACTCGCTTCGCTCGTGCGCTCGTGCCCGGCTGCGCTATAAACAAATATGCCCCACTGTTACACAATGTACTATTTCATTACAAAGTGCTCGTCGTAATGTGTCTATACTGAAACGTTTTTGCGCAGAAGAGTGGGATAGAGAAATAACTCAACGGCTTGAGGTATTGGCTATTTCCCGCACGCAAAAGCGTTGAGGTATAGGGCACATTGCACGCGTAATGAAAAAATTGTAACATAATGGAAAATAGAAAATATACAGATTAGCTACAATTTTGTATTAAATTTATTTTGTCACATGCAAATACAAAAATTGTGACTCTGTGAAATAAACGCACAAATAAATTTTATTAATAAAAAATAAAATATTCATCTACAACGTTTTAAATTAAATAATTATAATACATTAAGAGTAACTTGTTATATACGGTTATGAAATTATACTATAAAATTTATTTCGTTATT